GTCCATCGATGTGTAGTACACATACCATCTCGTCGAGATGACGACTAACGAGATCTTTTCCTTTCTCTTTGGCAGTCTGTTTTTGGTACGGTCAGGGAGCTATGATAATGGGTGGCGACGTTATCTCTCTTTCTGATCTGAGAGATCCATCAAAGGGTTTCATTGTGAATGATTTGTTGAAGGTTGAAGTCGAAATTCTCGCCATTTCTTCAACCAAGTATCTCCCTAATTAGTTTTCTCTAAACCAATGAACTTCCTGCTCCATGTTTTTACTTTGTTATCAACCACCTAATAATAAGGTTTTGTGTTCCTTTTCAAATAAATGTGTGTGTTTTCTGTTTGTTCCCTTTGGTTTTATGCTCATAGTAATATCAAATTATCATTTCTCTAATTCCGACGTTCGGTTATAATTATTTTCTCAATTATTTTTTACATTCAGCACAAATCTTGTCCTCATAGCGTTAACCGGAAAACGAAACTGAGTTATTCATGACCATACTAATTCTGTTTAGTGTCTTGTCTCTTTCAAGCACAAGGGTTTTTTTGTGTGTCAAATATTGAATAAAATACATATATACGTCAACATAGAATGAGGATGCAAACAAAACACTAAATACTTATACTTGAACAGAGACTTTCGATTAGTAAACCTGGTTGATATTCTGTAGTGCAGCAAATGAAGAATACTTGTTTGGATTTGGACCTTCGGTAAAAAAGACCAAAACGATTTATAATGATCGGGGGAAAAAAAAAAACTTCATTTGGCACAAGGCCATAACACCGGTGGGCCGGACCTGTCTATATCTAGAAAGATAAACATGAAGGATAATATGCACTCCGTTGATTTAGCTCCAAGGATTCATCCGGTTTCTTCATGCTTTAGTAATGGGCTTTTGTGCACTCTTGGCCCAAAACCAATCTTGTATGCTGATGCAACCATGTGTAAACCCATATCAATATATCAATCACAATTCAAAACTAAACCCTTTGATGAATCTCTCAGATTAGAAAGAGGCTCGAGATCAGCCAACCCGAGAAACTGAGGACTGAACAATTATCAACTGCCAAAAATAAGATATGTTAGAAAAACTCACATTAAGATAAGATATACATCACATTTCTAAGTTTTTGCAATCACCACTTTCGTTGTCCTACCACATCGTTATTGGATTGTCGTTGGTTAGGAACACGAAGCTTGGCTCGAGCATAAATCTTGTCATAAGGCTTCGTTTTTAGCAGCTCTTCTTGGCTAAGGTAAAGTTAAACCGACAAACTTTTGCCTTCTTGAGCGCTAACACCATTTGGAAAGACTCGGAATTCCTAATTAATTATCAGCTTTTTAAAACTTTTTTATTTACAACAACCCAATCACCGTACTTACACTTTTTTGTTTTTTTTGATAATCGGGGTTGTCCGGATTTTTACCACCCGACTAATCCCTCAAGATGACTCATTCCGCAAGTTCGTATCTTAAAAGACTCATCCTTTGTCTTTCGCCCGGCCGAGCTTTTGCTTTCTATTCTTACGCTCTCTCAGCAGCAAGACCATAGAATAGGAGACCACTAGATCCGCTGCAATCCTAGTTGCTAGTTGACTCAACAAAGAATTGACTGTCTTGTTCTCCCAATTTGATTCCTATTTTTTGAAGTCCAGCTAATTAGTGAAGGAAAGTGGTAAGAATGTACGCAACGGTAGGAAGTTAGAGGATTTCAAGTCCGTGTAGCCGTCGAGTAGCTCACTCACCGGGTTTTCTAATAGGCTTAAAGCATGACACCGTTTCGATTGACCAAATGGGGGTGAAAG